ACAATAATGATTTAAAAAAGCACATGCTTGAAAAACTTCAACCAAAAATCATTTTCAGATATGAAAGTAAAAGAACCTACAAATAAGCAACATTCCAATATCTTAGCAAACGTGTTACTTCGAGTACAAAGTACCACTAGCATTTTTAAAGCAAAAAATAATGGTGAAACACCACCACGTTTAAAAAAAAGGTAAATTCATGCAGTTCAAAAAAACTGGAAATAAACCTTGTATTTCAACAACTACTTACTTTTTTTGGCTGCCTGTTTTGCCAACTTTCTTGCCAAAGCACTTCTGGTTTCCAAATCAACGCTCAGAGTGGATTCCTAAATTTGAAAAGACCGGTTCTACTCAACTACCACAGCATCACTGTATTAGTGGAATAGTTCCGAAAAACAATCAGCAGATCCTCAAGTAAGCTAAACTCTTTATATGAGATCCCTTATCGTTTTTTGCAGCCTACATAAAAGTCTTATTTTTGTAACAAGGAATAATATGCTACGACATTAGTAAATCAAAATCAAACGCAAAAGCTATTCAACCCGGCAAACGTTTTTGAACTGCGAACTAACCTACCTGTCACTTAAACTTATAAAACAAATTGAGCACTTGAAGATAAACTTGCTGTTAGTTACCTGCAACCACTCAACTACATGACCAGGACTGCTGTAACTGTTCGGTTGATCTGGAGGCTGAACCAACCAAGTTTCTTCATCGTAAACATTGCTAGGTAAAGCAGCATCGAAATCAATAGACATCCGATTGTTGCCAGAATTCATTCTAAAACTCTACTTTATTATATTCATGATACGAAAGCAAACAAACGTTCAAACGAAGCAAACAACAATATGCGCTAGCTACAAAGAGAGATCACAATCCTATAAGAAGAAATCCATAGTTCGATCTCAGCAACTTTCTGGCCGATGATGTAAGCTGAAAATCGGATTCTTTTAGGACTGCTTCACTGGCTTCCCAGCATCCCAGTATGTAAACTTCACTGTTGATTCTTGTCCTTTACCCCCGTCCTTGGCGACGTTTCTCAAACATCTTCGAGTAATAGCTGCAGCTATCTGAGAATAGCGAACGTATGTCAGGCCAACACTCCTCCACATACTTTAAAGAGTACCGCGTAAGATTTAAGAATAGAAATCTACCTAAAGAAAGTTGATGCTAGATAAACTGTTTAGCTTCACCGACAGGAAACAACGCTTTCAGCAGCAACGAGAAGTTTATGAAGTCTCAGCGCATTTGGAAAGAATTTTCAAATAACAACATAAAAATGTGCTCCAAGAACTGCAGCGCCAACAAATAAACATAAATAATCGGAAAAAGCAGAGATTAAAAAAAAAAAAAATAAAAAATAAAAAAAAAAATAAAAACAGATAGAGCAAAAAGACCAAAATAAACTACTTTATTTTAGTGAGTAATCAGTAGCGATTCCTTACATGGCTGCCCATCACATTAATTAAAACTTACAACATACCAAAACTCATACTCTTCTAAATAATAACTTTAACTAAAAATAGTTCTGTGAAAAGATCTGGCCCCAGTCAACGCACTCGAAATTGTTTTCGCTACTCCTAACTCACTCCTAATCTCTCAAAAAACTACAAACAACCTGATACTACATAAGAGAACTGAGTTAGGACAGCTAAATTTTATAATAAGTTCATCTCTCCAGCATTCACGATAAGTTTAAAGTTCTAAACCGACAAAAAAACTTCAACAACACCAGTTTACTTCTACATTGTCGGTGCACTTTTTTTTTGCCGGATGAAACCAAACAACAAAGCGGTCATTAAAAGACAACAGACTTCCAAAAGTTAAATCGATAAATTTCTATTAACATCCCAAAACAACTGAGCTGCACTTTCATAGCAAAAAAAAAAAA